ATATAGGATTAGGTTCCTCACCCATACTTATTTATACCTCATATTGATTGTTTCTTTGGATTTTTTTTTCTATATTTGATGATGTTCCTGACATTTAATACATCAGATGTTCACTTAGATTCTATTCACTTTTTTAAACTTATTAAACTTCCAGTATTTCCCATTTCTCTGTTTAGCCAAGACCATTAATCTTTCTTGATAATTAGTTTTTTATCTTTTAAAGTTTTCCTTGTTTCTTGTCAGTATTTTAGAACATTTTAGATGCTTCAGGTAATTTATCCTGGATGCAAAGGATGAAGTTTCTTTGTGAATAAGCACTTACTCCTCTGCTTGATCCAAGAGTGAGGATCAATGATCTGCAAGTCCTTGTCTTAAAACCACACCTGAGATGATTTCCTTTCTTCTAGTCAGAAACAAGCAATTTTTGTTTAGTAGATTAGGATCGTTTCATGTACTTTAATATTTCAAGGTTTTGGTGAATGTGTGGTATCAAAGTGATTGAAAGAATCTATAATACATGGATATTCAGTGCTAATATTTCATTTGCATAAGTCCCAACAATTATATCTTTCTGTGAGCCCTCCACATCTCTTCTACAACTCATGTGTATACCTCACAATTTTTTAATCTCCTTTTTTTTTCTCCATGGCTGTTTATTCTGGGTTAAACCTTTCCTCCTTGGTATCACATGTGTCTTATCTTAATCTTATCTTAATGTAGTCAGCCAAATAAAAGGTTGTTTATAGCAGGATTCAGAATGTGTTGTTAGTGCACATAGTAACATTGCAGGCTCAGGTCAGAGTCTGGGGGTGAAATCAGAAAGAGCAGGTGGTAAACAACAGTATAAATGTTTCATAGAGGACTAGATATGTACAGAGATATGGCAAATATAAATAACTTTCAGAGAATAAATATTAAGCTTTCTTTTCAGAGATTAAGTTAATCTAGCTGTACGAACAAGGTAGCATGTAATATAGCAGACAAATTGCCCCCCACTTTCTAGTGTGATTTCTTCTGAAACCTCTGAAGTTGCTGTTTGACACAGAGCAATTCTGTGAAAAACTTGCCTGAAGTCTGTGCTGCTTTTTGAAGAATGCTTGAAAAATCCTCATGCTTTCTGCTACTGTGGGGGAGGAGAGGAGGAGCAAGAATATTAATTCAGCCTTAAGAGGTTTCACATATCCCACAAGAGAGTAAAGTGATTCTAATTTAATTGCTGCTGCTCAGATAGGTAGCTCAAGACATCCAGTATTGAAGGCTTATCTCTGACCTTTATACTGACCACAGTGATTAAGTTGGAAAGCCTTTAAATTTTAAAATGGAAAAGAAATACAGAATGTGAATTACAGAGAGAAAATATAGAGCTGCATAACCTGATTTGTCCATCACCAGCACTGTGTAGCTAAATATTTAAATAAAGTCAATTTGAGAAAGTGGTGGGGTTTTTTAATTTCCACTTTCTCTTTTTGCATTTCAATACATTAATGGTATTATTTTCTATCTAGTTATTTCATGCAAATTTCTAAACCCCAGAAGAACCCTGGATCTATTTGCTGAGGTTATTTAATGAACCAGCAATGCATAAGTAGTATGTGGGTTGAATCAACAACACTCATTGTAAGCATGATATGAATTATGATGACTTCAGGCTCAGGTTTAAAACTGGTAAAGGAACAGTGATTAGAAGCCACAGGTATATTTAGAATTGTAAACCACCCATTGAACACAGAAATAAAATCAGTTGCTACAGACAATTACTACTAATTTTTTGCTGACTAAATCATTGGAAATCATTTGAGACCATGATGATGGGATTCAGGCAAATGTGGGCCAGTTTAAGATATTCAGGGAGTCTCAAACACGTTTTACAAAACGAGGCCTAAAATGAAAATACAGAAATGTATATAACCTTTTCTTCTAGTCTGTAGATTTCTGTTCCTTCATGAAAGCAAAACCTGAATGCCTGACAGATACATGTAAGACATCTATCACAGTAAATTCATTCTTCAAATCATATTATGCTAAAGTATAATACCTCTTTCATAAGTCAAATTTGTTTTATTTTCCTATTTGCTCTGTATGTTCTGCTGGAGTAGTTAGATTGGTTAAAAGAAGTCTTTCTTTACTTGAGGGGCCGTCATTCTCTTTCACCTTTCTTGTTCTGCTGTCCTTCTTATTGTTTTGCACATTTTTGACCACTCTATTGTATTTTTCATACAGCTTTTCTGCCTGCTTCATCTAGATGTCATTGTGTATTCACTCACTGTATTTTGTTTTATCAGTAGGAATGAGACATTTTGACAAGGTCACCGTGTATGACATGTCAGAAAGCTGCATTTTTTTCAGTCTGGGATGATGTCATCTCACTGATTTTCCCTATTCTAATGGTAGAGAGGTTTCTCTTGATATCTCTTAATAATTTGTTATTTAAAAACACCTGATCTATCCTAATGCAGTGATTTAGACATACAAAACAATGCCAACCATGTGTAGAGCATTATATCTGTGGGATTTGTGAAGGATTGTCCTTCTTACTCTAAAAGCTCTATTTCAGTCCTAATCTACACTCATTAGGAGTCCCTTCCAAATCAAACTGATCCCATTACATCTGGGAAATAAAGCTGACACATATGGTCTTGGACACTGAAAAACCACTGAACTGTTTAAATATGAGGAGGAAGACCTAAAATTTAGCTTCATCTTTTCTAAAAGTAGCAGGAGAATAGGAAATACCTCCACAGTGATTGTATTGCCAATTTAGCAGATACTAATACCAGGCTTTATATGAGGGGAAAAATTGTTTTTCTTAAAATAAAATGCATATCTTTCACTCACACTGTCTCACATTTGGGAACACTGGAATGAGTGTGTGTCTAAGGAGACTGTTCAGCAGCCAGGCATCCTTTTAGCTTGTATCCAGATATAAGGTCCAGGATATGTTCCAATGACATGGAGAGCATGGGATGACAGCTGTCAAGTCTTCCTCACATCTCCCATGTTCTTCATATTTTGGCCACTCTTTCCAGGTTTTGGATATGCCATTTTTATCTTTATGGACCTGCCAACAGCCTCTCTGTCCTTCCCAAGCTCTTGGAGTTATCACTCTTTACAGTTTTTGTCAGCAAGGTCACCTTGTGAAGTTACACATTTGCCTGTTGTCTTGGTGACCTGATAATCCATGTGCCTTTAGAACAGGCCAGTTCTAAAATGCCTTTTCCTCCTGTGTGTTTCCTTCTTGTGCTCCAACATAAAAATACTCCCATTCATTCTTCATTCACTCTTTCTATTGCAATTCTCTACAAAGGTAGTGGGTAATGACAGTGGTTTCCTTTTGAAATTAATATAACTGGGAAACACTCCCACTTAAGAAACAATTTCTAATTTCTTCTTGTGTTTTTATGACACTACAAGGACTTTGCTTTTGAGTACTTATTCAGTATTATAACCCAAATTCAAATATTTGATTGAGTTATTAATTGAAATAGAGATCTTTGTATGTAGATTGGGGCTAACTCTAGGAAATTTCATGATGTTTTGCAGCAGATTAATCTAACTCCTGTAGACCCAGATTTGTTCAGCTGTAGCTGCTGCTATGTAAACACTTCATATGAGCAGTGATTGTAAGATTATTAACTACAGACAAAAGCAATTATTTGAGGGTCACTTATCTAAATCAATAGCTATTGCATTGTTCAAACTCATCTGCTTCTAATGTAAATGGGCTGAGACAAAAACCCATCGACATGCCTAGGCTTACCTCTCTAACAGGAGGTGCTTCAGGGTGGAGGCAAACTGGTGTTCCAAATGCAGACTTCAACTGCCAGCCCTCTAAAGAGAGAGAGAAAAAAATGCTTATGGATTGTTATATACACTGTCACCACCAGTCTTTAAATCCAGGGTGACATATTGGAACAAAGGACATCACTGTAAAGCATGGTGCCACACCCTATGATTCATTATATACCATCATATTTGCACAAAAATGTAACAAAACAGTTACTGAAGTAAGTTCTTGAGCAAAATGTGGCCTCATCACCCTAAATGATTGCCTTTACTTGCTCTTTTTATATCACAATGATTAATTTTAAAGAGTGTGTCTGCTTAAACAGAAAATATACACAATTATGAAAATATATTCAGTGTTGAAAAAATATTGTCTCCAAGGAGCAAGACTTTTGGTCTTCAACCTTAAGAAACCTTAAAAAACCTCAAAGTGTGATTTCAAATTAGGTTAAAAAGTATGTGTCTGAGTGCAATGTTGTCTGCTTATATTTGATATTATGTTGGATTTTTTTATATGAAAGTCATGTTCTCTTCTTAAAAGCTTCAAATTCTCAAGACTGCTTTTTAAACCTCAGCAATATCAATACTGTGAAAGCAAGTATTTATTGTGTTGCCTTTTTGCTGTTTAATGTACATCTTGTGCTACTGATTAAGATGAAAGAAGGCTGAATCTAAAATTGTTTCTTAGTCATCTTTGTGAAAGACTGATACATTCATGGTGCTGAGGAATAACCTACTGTATTCAAATGTGCAGGTAAAAGGCAAAAAAATTGTTATCTTAGGTAACTTCATGAGGATCAACAAATTCACAGTCTTTATGACTGCATGCATATAGACTTCTAGTCTGCTGGCATAATTTCTGTCAGCTAACATTATCTTTGCAAATCTAGAACACAATGCAGTGTTCTATTGATAGCAGTATATAGCAGTTGACAGCAGTGTTCTCAAGATACCGAGATGGTGGTCTTTCCATTTTGTGGGTGCTGGAAGACAAATTAGGTTCTTTGGAGTCACTTGAAGCTGCAGAATAAAGATAGGAGTATGGTTTTAGGGCCTGTTAACAGAGTTTTACACCATTTCAGGAAGATTAAGAAAATTTGCAATATTATGTTATTTCTCAGCAGCGGCATCATACAACAGCCTAAACCCATCACAATCAAAACCTCTTCCTGGCTCGGTTGTGCAATTTTAGTAATCTGTTGTTTCATTTTCCACAGGAGTGTGGTTGTACCAGTGAAGAAGCCCCCTCCAGGTAGTCTGGCTGTTACCACCGTTGGAGCTGCCACAGCTGGGAGTGGACTGCCGCCGGGTAGTACACCTAATATATTTGCTGCAACAGGAGCTACACCAAAAAGTATGATTAATACAACAGGTATTGTCCTTAAATATTCTTGTGACCCTCATTTTGTCTTTGTTTTTTGTTTTGTTACCTTCAGTGGTGCTTTGTATTTTAGTCATCTTCATGTTACTGTTCTTGTAGTTCCAAAATAAAACCTGGAAAGATTAAACCTTGGCCTTTATTAGATACAGTGTTTTCTCTTGGTCTATATTTATAATCTTTGATAGTGCACATTGGACTTGCACAGCCTTAAATAAATTAATAATTAGCCTCAATATTGTTTTATAACTGTAGTTTAGAATTGAAATGAGCTAACTTTTCTAGTGCTCTGCAGTAGAGGATGTTTATGTGATAAATACCGATTAATCCCTCTTTAAGTATAAAAGAAAGTAGAGACAAGTAGCTACTCAATAAACAGACTATAGATTGTAGAGGTTGATTATGACTTTTGTCAGTAAAAATTTTTCTCATTTTGGAAGGTTTTTTAGTAAGAAACTACTTAATTTAACTGAATTCATGCCTTTTCTTATGACCTGTAGAAGGAAGACTAGACCTTCTTTTTAAATAATTTTTAATAGTTGTAGTGGGATTCTCTGTTGTGAAGGAACCTGTTGACAATGGAGATTGGTTTCCATTGAGAAATGAATTCTTACTCAGAGCAACTGATATTTAAATTAAACTCCTTTGAAATATCTGGCTATAGTCTTTTTTTCTTTCTAAAAGAAACAAAAACACTTGAGAGAAGAGCTTTCTTCAAGGATATCAACTTCAGTCAAGGGTTGAGAATATGAAAATCTCTCTGGGGTTGCAGCAAATAGAGGGGGATGCTTTTGGCATCCTTCTGCTTTACAGAGTAATATGAACTCATTTTTTTTTTCTCTTTCCTTTTGCAGATTACCTTTAATACCTGATAACAGAACTTTGATTTTTCTAAGGATAAAAAAAATAAATAACTATGATCTTAAAACCTAATTTTCCTGAGGCAGATGGGAGGAATGAATACACTGAATAATGTTATTGCTTCTCTGAGCAGTTCCATTTGTGTAGACACTTCTGTTAATCTTGAATGGATTTCCTTTTAGGTATTCTTATGTTGTGCAAAAAGTATCATGCACTGGAAACCTTGTTTTCCAGATGATACTGAATAGAATCTTTAAGCTTTTCAGTCCTCTTACTGATTAAATATCTGAACTATTTTGGCTGGAATGTAGTAGCTCTTGTTTGTAACTAATTGTATTTTAAAATCAGTCATTTCCCCACTACTGTTCTTAGTAGAGGGCAGTATTGCAAAAGCCGTGGTACTATGGCACTGTGGATTAAAGGCTTCCTTTTTTGACAGATCTTACAGTTTCTTTTTTCTTTTATGATTTTTTTTTGATCCTAATCTATGGATTAGCTTGATTCAATGAGAAGTACTGATTGAATAGAATTTCAACAAGTATGAGGTTTAATTAGAACTATATATGTACTGAATTCTATAATAAAGCATTATATGAAGATTTGAATTTTTGAAGATTTAAGTTTTATATCAATGTTTTAGAAATGCTAAACATATTAATGACTGTTAAAAAAAGTAGTATCCCATTGAAAATATTTAAATAAATATTATATTAAAATGCTCATTTTGCCATTTTTAATTAAGCTATGCCTATGATAGTCAAAACAGTGACTCATGTAAATCAGTTTTTGAGACATACAGACTATCTAAAAACCTTCTGGTTTATATATTTCTAATCTATGAAATATCTATGTTATTAATTATTTTAAAATAGTGTATAGAATTTAATTGAACAGTACTTTTTTTTTTTTTCCTATGAGAAATAGAAAACAGAATGCAATTTTTTAGAAACACTAGATGTCCCCCCAAACCTATTTACAGTTGTTTTTACAGTATGTCACAGATACTCTAGAAATACAGTCATATCTATGTGATGGGTAGCACAATTTATAAGGTATGTTCTGTGCTGGACTTAGGTGAAAGGTGGTTTTTTTCAGTTATTCATGGGTTATAGTCGGTGTTTACATTCCATCTGCCATTGCTGTCACAGTCAATGTCATGTCATGACTTAATGAGATGTATGTTACTCAAGTCCTTTAGTGCTGTGAATGCATCTATGGGGAGATAGGTTTTCTTCCTTCATCTTTTTATGTAAGAAGCTGGCTTTATAGTTTCTTAGGCTGGATTTCTGTAATTCATATCCTGATTCTTACTTCTATGTTAATCTAATAGTTCTAGGTCTGTTCAATCTTCTGGAAGCCTAGCTGGTTGAATTTAGCAACTGCATTTTTAAACAACCTTAATGAAGGAAATTTCATTTTGAAAGGGAATAAAAAATAAAAATCTGTATTCCCTATATATATATGAATTTTAAAATTAATAAATACAAGAATGCACACACAGAGACATATATATACGTGAAGGCTTAATCTTTCTTAAGATATCCTATTCTCAGTTAAGTTGCTGTGATTTCTAGGTTGGCACAGATAGCCTACCTTATAGTTTTGTGTTTCTCAGTGTGTTTGGGTGCATTTCAAATTTGTATTTAATCCAAGACAGAACACACAGTGTAAGCCACAACCTATCTCCCAGTCCCATTATTAAAAAACTGCCTAAATCAGTTCCTAGTGTAAATCCTGAACCTCACCAGCTACACTTTAGTGTCAGCAAGCCCACTAAATCCTGCTTGCATTTTGATAGTGTGTTGAACTTAAATGTTCTTAAATGATCTGGTCAAAAATCCAATCTTTGCCTTCTTTTATTAGTAAAAAATATCTAAAGATAAATTCAATCAATCAATCAATTAATCATTCCTGCTGCCTGAGTATTTTTCACATTTACCAGCATTTACCCTTTACTTCACTGCTGGCTGGCTACTTAAGCAGTTAAGAAACCATAAATGCCTTGTAGATCTCTGTAGGAACTGAAAAAATATAAAATATAAAAATATTAAATATAAAAAATATAAAATATAAAAAACCTGAAAAATATAAAAAAACTGAATGCAATGATGTAACAACTGCTAAAACTGACCATTAACAGGGCATTAATAAATACTGGTTTTGAAAATGGCCAGAATAATGTCATTGATCTCTGAAATGGGCTTCCTCACTCTTCATTGCTAACTTGGATAAATCTTGTTGCTTGTCAGCCTCATCTCTGGTAGCATTGCAGTCCCTCAGGCTTTGAACTCCAAGTACAAGACTGTTTGTAGCTACCTCTCCTGCAGTGATATGTTGCAGAAGGACTGTGCAGAACAGGGACAGCATTTATCACAGCACTCTCACTGTTCATGGCCTCTCTGAGCCTTTGCTGGTTTGCTTCAGAGAGGCTGAACTCACAGCACCATTTCAGCAAACATGATAGATTGGCATCCAGAGTCTAAGTTTAGCCCTTAGCTCTGACCCAGATCACTTAAAAGTATAAATGTATGCTCTGTGTGCATCTTTTTTTTCTGGGCAGCTGTTCACAACCCATTGAAATGATGCCCCCACTGCCCTCCTTACTTTTAAGATCTTACAATTCTCCTTGACTCAAGGAAGGAAACAGAAAAATTGTAATTAGAATCGTCATACTCCTCAGACACCAATTTCCCCCATTACTTCCTGAAGTGATGTACATTTTCTATTTTCCCTGTATTTTTTTTAAATTTCTATTTTAGTTTCTGCCTGTAGTTGCAACTGGGCAGCCAAGTGTGCATATATAAATATATTTTAAGAAATATTTAAAATTTTATTCTCAAGCTCATCTTAAGTACACCTTTATTTTGGAAAGATCTTGCTTTACAGTATGATGTAAAATTATTTTCAATTTTTGAATATAATTTGGGAATAGTGGAAATGTGATAAGGATTTATTTTGCCTGATTTTCAATAGATTTCAAATTTATTATTTTTATACCAGCAAAGTTAAGGTATTAATTTTTTTGATAACCATATAGAAAAGTTTTCACTATGTTACAAAAAATAACATTTCCCTACTTAGGAGTAGATTAATAATACAAGAACTATTTTAAAAGTTTTCTTTCTTAAGACTGAATTAAGGTTTGTGTTTTTTGGGGGACAGGTGCAGTAGACTCAGGATCTTCTTCTTCCTCTTCGTCATCCAGCTTTGTGAATGGTGCTACCAGCAAAAATCTGCCAGCTGTCCAAACTGTTGCTCCAATGCCAGAGGATTCAGCTGAAAACATGAGGTACACAAGTTCTATCTATTAATATTAGTTACAATTTCTCTCCCCAAATTACTGTAAAAAAATAACTCATTTCATGTGCATTACTGTAGCTATACATGTGCTACCATGTATGTACTTTTTGGGTACCAAGGATGTTTATACTAAAATAGCACTTCACCAAAAAGTCTGAACTTTTCAACTGAAGGGTCTAGCTTGTTCAAACTATGCCAGCCACTAATACTTCATTAAAGTAATTTTTCATCTGTCTGGTTTATTTTCTTTATTCAATAATACCAGTATATATTGGAAAGTAAGCAGTTTGGTAATGGAGCACTGGGAAGTGGAAGGAGACACGCAACCTCTCCTGAGCAAACAAAGAACTGTGTTAAACTGGAGAGGACAAAACCAGACCTGTATTTGAAAATAATTTGAAATTTATTTGAAATAAAAAATTATTTGAAATAAAAAAAATTTACTTGTTCTGGAGTACTCTGCAAATACTGTGGAATCTATGAGGCTGACACACTGCTGACTCTGACATGACATTTCCTTTTACTTAAAGCCATTTAAAAACTGTAAAGTTTAATCAAAATATGATCATCCTCTTTCCTAAAGAAGCTTACAGAAACTTTTAAAAACAGGTGTGATTTGACATAATTTTACTTCTGTTGTGAAGTGTACTTACAATCATGGTCTCTGTTTTTTCCACAGTATCACTGCAAAGCTTGAAAGAGCTTTAGAAAAGGTGGCCCCTCTCCTGCGAGAAATTTTTGTTGATTTTGCCCCTTTCCTATCTCGAACATTATTGGGTAGCCATGGACAAGAGCTGTTGATTGAAGGTACTGTTCTGTTATGAGATTGTATTATTGTAGGTATTATTAATTCAACATGAACAATTTTTTATTTTCACTAGACTTTATATAACTATTTTTGATAAATGAATTACTCAGTTGTTAATGCATTGTGATTTCACTTCTTTGCATTTAATTGCATTTAAAGAAGTTAAAAGTGATAGCTTTTGTACCCTTTTGTTCCCCTGAGATGCTGTGTAATGGTACATCCTCTCACGAAATACTCCCTATAGTTTGCCTTTCTCTCCTCAGAATAATTCAGTGCTTCAGCCTGACTTTGAGAAACTAGTGAAAATACAATTAAAAAGTGTAAACTACTCCCACAGAAGAAAGTAGGAAGAAGACCATGCTCCAACATTATTGATGCCCATATCTGTATTTGGTAGGGCTGTTTTTGTCTGAGGCAGGTCAATTGGATTCACAAAGACACATAAAGAGCTGTCCCTAGAGGAGGAATAAACACTGATAAATTTTAAAGAAAAGTATCCTTGACCAATTTCAAGCACTACTTCATAGTTAGAAAATTTGCCTCATAAAGGAGGCAGGATGTAGAAGTTACACAGAACATGCAAATATGGCAAGCTCATGAAGAAAGTAATGAATCAGTACTAATGCAGCTAAAATAGAGAAGGGAGGATTTTCATGAGCATGCACTGCTCCCAGGTCATGTATTCAGAGGAGTATATTCAGCCATGTAAACTTTTTCCTTGCAGGATTTTTCTGACACACAGATCTCAATTGCTGTTCACTGAGAGGAAAAGGTCTCCTGACAAGGCTTATAGTATGTAAAGATCTACACAGAAAAAACACAGCTTTGTGTTCAAATTCCAAACCCCCTTCTATTGTGTTTTATCTTCTATGTGTTTTATCTAAATATTGGTGTACAGTTTTTCTATGGTATTTCCATGATTACATCTCATAGTGTTGGCTCTTGTTACTAGAAATATTTACATCTTGTAACTGAAATTTTCTAGACCCTTTTCTTCTTTCATCTTCTTATTGTTTAATAATACTAAGGGATGGTGTAGTAGCTTAGTAATACTCAGCAGCTTCAGGTATTTTTTATTGTTAATTTAATAGTTTGTGAATAAGTTGCTCTTCTCACTTAATGACACCTAAATTAATGAGTCTGAAACTCACATTGAGATAACTGTAAGATAATTTATGGGCTACTTTCTTAACTCTCTTATTTTAGTGAAGTTGGTTGCAAAATTTGTAGCAGTATTATCCTTTTCCATTTGGCAATTGATTAATTGCACTATATGTTTTATAAAATATGACTAAAATTGTCTTGGTTTTACCTGAGTTCTTTCACTGATTAAAAAAATTCTTCATTGAATCATTCATTCAATCATTCATTGAGTCATTCTGATTTTGTCTTTTTGTCAGATCCACAGCATGAACAAATCTATAACTGTTCCAGAATATGACAAAGACTGAAACACTAGAGGTCACAGGAATCTCACAACTATACAGCAGTATTTAATCTCACTGCTTATCCAGAGAGAAACATGTTTTGTTGAATTGTTTCTGGCTTGTAGCATGTTTCTGATAATGGCTTGTAGTGTCATTCCATATTTTGCCCCATCTATAGCTTAGCCACACAATTCAGAATCAGAAAACATTCTCAAACCAAACACTGAGTTCCAAAACAAGTATTGTCCTTTCCGTCATTTTTCTTTAATGCTATATCTAACCCTCTCTTCAATCACTCTCTCATTCCTGATTTCTAAAAAGCAGTCCTTTGTTCCCAAGATATTGAAATAGCAATCTGGGAAGTAAAAAAATCCAAACACACCATAGATCTTTACACTGCAGGACTTGAATTTTTCTTTGCCACCTCTAAAATTCTTGGGCTTTTTTTCTTCCCAACAGAGGATTCAGAGTTGCTTTTATAGTCACTGTGTACTTCTGCTCTTTTCTTTCTTCATTGCCTCTATGAGATTCTTTTTTTCAACTAAACTGAATTATTGCCTAGTTAAGTTGCCTTTGAAAGAGAATTTCAAATTCTCTCTTATTCTAGTACCTGATTTACTTTGAGAAATTTCCTGTTATTCCTTACTGAAAGCCAGTGGTAGTCTTCAAGTATTTGAAAGTGCTCTCCAGGTAATCACTCAAAAAAGAGGGATTTAGTGATGTTTTTCAGGATATGAGAGTGTATAGAATTCCTGTGGGGCTTTGATAATTGAAATTTGATTTCTTTTTTACTGGAAGTGGTAATTAACTTGACACTTTTATATGCAATGGTTTAATTTGTTACTTTATGTGTAAAGGTTTTAGTTATAAGAATCAAAAGGAGCAAATAAACTTTCTTAAATTAAGTCTTAAAGCAATAGTCTTTCAAATTGATCACCGTAAAAATACCTGTTGCATTCTATGAAGCAACTTTCAAGCTTGACATAATAATACCTTTCCTTCTTTGCTGTTTTTCAAAACCTCCTTATGGTATGAAGTTTTTCCCCTATCACATTTTGCTAAAATCAGAATACTGTCAGACACCCTTGATGCTGAGTGCTTTTTCCTGAGGGTCTTCCTAGAGCTCTTGTGCATATGTGTGTAAGAAGTGCTAAATCATTTTCAGATTTGGTAAGAATGTACAGTCTTGTTGCTGACTGCATGCTGAGGAGCAAAAAATAAAAGGAAGCAGAAAGCAAAATTCATTTTAAAACTTCTAAAACAGGTTAATCATGCAAGTTTTTTTCAGAATATCTGATGGTTTATGATAGGTGTTGTCAATATATTTTTGGAAATATATATACAACTTAGTTGTGATTTCACCTTTTTGTTCAGCTGCCTCAAACCTTTGGTGAAAAATCTTGAAGTCATATCCTTTTACATCATGCTTTATCATCATTCTGTCCCATGGAAGACTGGCTGGCCTATTGTTTGAGTGAATTATACTTACTGTCTTAGTGCCTTCTTAACTTTTGATCTGAGTTGAAATGAACAGGCTGCAATGATCTTGTCAGTCAAGACCAAAAACTTAGGTCACTAATACTAGAAATTGTTAATTTTTCTTGTTCTGGTAAATTCCCAAATGTGACTGGTGACAGAGGAACCCTATCAGGTAGTAATCTGACATTGCAGAATATACTTAATGGTAAAATTCCTTATCTCTTTACTAAAATTACTAAATTACTAATTACTGAAATAGTTACTTGCTCCTTTTTCTAAAACCAATTCTTTCTTCAAAGATATCTTATACTCAACTGAATTTCAAATGTTTCATCAACTTCTCAGAACTGAGAATCAGAATTTTATAAGTAGAAAATATTGTCAGTGATGGGTTAAAAGGAGCCTTTTTGCATTTGAATGCAAATAGCTTCAAACAGAGTATACCAGAACCAGCCCAACACTGCTGTGGTTTGTCAACTGAGGCTCTTCCAATGCCTCAGAGAACAGAAGTTGCAAAGGTTAAAATTGCCCGTACAGAATCTAATTGGAAACAAACACGCAATATGTGTAGGTCACATATTTGAGCTTAGCAGAGCTCATGGTGGAGTTCCATTTAACACTTGCACAGATATGTTTTCGCTAACTAGTTTCCATATGGTCTGCAAATTCCCTCCATGTAAAGTGCATGACAACATTCTAGCTTTTAGGTGAAAATGTTACAGGCATGTGTAATCTGATCTGTAGCTGAAAGAAAAGCTATATCCTCTTTTTGTCAAGCACAGATGGGTAGAAGTATTTGCACTACAGCTATTCTTGGAGTGTCTGGAACTGTAAGAGTATGTCCATGATTGAAACACAGTCACATAGAATGCTTTCCCTTCTCTTGAGTGAGGTACCAAAGAAACTTCACTGATGCTTTTACTTTGCTGTATCATGAGCTGGGTAGAAGGTCAGCCAGGTAGCCCTTCTCCAAGGGATCTTTGATGAATTCCTTTCTGTACATTTGATATGTGTCTGATACAGGCACAATTAAAGTCAGATGACGGAGAGAATGTTTTTGCGCTGATAGGAGCAGGATCTGTTCCTCCTCATTAACTCACCACATGGCCCTATGAAAATATCCAGTGGAGGTGGTGATGGACTAGCTTTGTATCGTGTTTGACAGAAGGCTTCTTGAAACAATTGAAAAATTGCCCAAAACATTCCTTTGGAAACCACAGATAGAACTTGGGTGCTAAATGACACTACTCTAAAAGCTCCCCAAAATCTCAAGTGTGACATTACTGTGGCATCCACC